TTTGTTTAAAATAAATTTTAATACTGACAAGAAAAAATATAAACTTATTTAATAGTATTAAATTATTTTTGTATTTATTTCACTACTAATTATGATAACATATTACAAAAATATGTAAAAGTATATAAGTTTTTTTATTTAAAATTGAAAAAATTTGTAAAATTTGAAACCAAAAATTAAAAACTATAACCCTATTAAACAGAATCTTAATAATTGTTATCCAAGGCTTGAAAATTTTAATTTTTCGTTTTCTCTTTTTAAGGTATGATAGAAATTTAGAAACATAACAACGTGGACTTTTTTTTTTTTTTTTAATGTTCATAACATGGACTTATGAAACAAAAATGTTGACACCTAAATGAAGTACTAACACATAAATAGGTCACAATCCAACACATGGCGTCCCGTAACAAATTTTTTTTTTTTTTTTTATGCTTCAGAATAGCCACTGGAATGCACTCGCCCTTGAGGCCTAGTGGCATAGCCACGGTGCATTCCTCCTTCCCGGCAGGGTTCAAAACCTGCCTTTGCAAAATACGTTAAAAAAAAAAATAGCCACTGGAATACCCATCGCGCGTGGAAAATTACCAGTTACTGCTGTTATTGTTGTAAAGGTCATTATATGGAGATGGTGACATTGGCATATACCAGTGCAAAATACCAAACCCACCACTCAAATCATTTCAATGCTTTTCTTGAATGCAATGAGCAATCCTCGTTCAAATCAGCAGGTGCAGTGCAGCAATGTTTTGAATCTTTTAAAAACCGAATACAGCACTCCGGCATCGTCAAGGTCTATTAAGACAAAGCTTGCATTGTGTCATCTTACATTAAATAAAAATTTAGAGAATGTATCTCTGCTCGACTGTTACTTGAAGAAATTAGAGTCGAAACGATGTAAAAAACTAGAGAAAAACAAACATGAAAGACATAAGGGCACATCCAAATTTCAAGCATCTGATGAAGTCTGTGTGTGTAAATAAATCCCATACACCAACAACCCTGTTGAACAACAAAATCAATGAGAACCTGCATGCAGAACAAGGTTTCAATGGATATTGCAGTAAATAGAAGTTCACTTGACTCTCTCTCCTTTGCTGACTTTGTGTGTATGCAAGATCAGCTAGCGAAATCTCCTCCGGCTACTGGACTTTACAAGATCAGTGAAGAAGATTTGGAATTTGAGTTCAGACCTGCACCTCAAAACTTAGGTAAGTTTTTACCTGCTGATGTGTTTTCAAACAGTGAGAAACCACCACAAGCAGTCTTAACTCAGGCCATTGGTAAACCGCGATACAAAAATTCGCTGCCAGCTTCTCACATTAGTAGCAATAGATCAAAAGGCAATCAAAATGACTACATAAAAGCTTCAGCCAAAGCTCATAAGGTGAGAAACCAAGCAAATAAAGATGGTACTGCACAAAGGTCATGGTTCGGTCAGAAGCTACTTCTGTCATTTGTCGCCCCCCATGCAGGGAGTGCCATGTCGTAAAGCCAACAGTGAAAGCAAATACCACGCTCAGCAAAATGCTAAGTTTATACTAACTTAGAGCTATTCTTCTTTCCAATTTTTTTCAAAATTGAACTTCAGCTGAGATGTAAGACACCATGCCCTGTTATCATTTTGTATAATGGGAGAGTTTCATAAGCGTGATTATTAGTATCATTGTTCAAATTCTGCAGTTAGTGCAGTTGAATAAAAGTTTATGACCTGGTTTTGTTTTCTCCAAACTGAACAAAATCAGCAATGCTAGTTATAGAACTAAATTTCTACTCTTAATTTACATTTCTCGCCAGTCAGTTAGTAGCTGTCACATCCTAGTAATCCAATCCAATAGTCAAGTCCATTTCGTGAAAGCCTTCCTGCCTTCCAACTTGCTGGTCCGTCTTCCACAATCATAACAAAGCATTGGAAAATTTTTCATTCACAAACAATGTGCTTCAACTTAAAATGTTAGGTTCTGTAAGAGTAGATACTTCATATAGTCCTACCAACTAACAAGCCTCGTTCTTAATAAAGGATCAATATAAAGTACTCTAGTAATTATACATTATTAGCTGTTAAAACTAGGTTATAGTTTATGAAATTACTGCTGCTGTGACACTGCAATCTAGACTATACTGTTAAACACCGTGATTGTAAAAACATCCATACAAAAATGCTCGATTGACATGCTATAACCAAAATTAATCCAGAAGCTGAAACCTGAAAGTTTTTAGGAGCTAAACAACAGATCCCACTAGCAGGACAACAAAGATGTGGTTTTATATTAACAAAATATGTATAGAAAACTTTACAAATTGAAGAAGCTTGCTCCCTCAAGATTTGCCATATCTTTCAACATATCCCTGCAAAATTAAATAAGCATTGATAAATCTCACAAACAATTTACACCCAGCAACAAGAATAAACAACTGTGCCTATTTGATCAAGAAAAGGAATATGGATAAAACTAAACTTGACTTTTGAGTATATAGTGAAAACAACCAAGTACATATATTTGATTGATAGAAAAAGACAAACACTGAGGTTAAGACATAGAAGGGATGGGGTTAAAGCAATATGAGAATTTAAAATCTAGGACATCTGAAGACGGACCTTGATTAGCTTGGCAATTTTTGGTTGGGACGTAGACAGGTATTGCTTGGCAGAATCCATTGTAGCTGGAATTTGGTGAGGCTGCAAACTGCTAAGAACCTTGTCAACTGCTTTTTTTACTATTGTGTTATGAGCATCTTTGCTTAAATGCCCCTCAAGCCAGGTTGGCTTCAACATTTCTTTCACAAAATCTATGAGAGCAGCACGGAAATGTCTTGCTGTTTTTGATTCTTTCTGCACATCGCCATCTAACTTCTGCTCAACAACTATTTCATTATTTTGTATGAACCTATCTACTTTTAAGTCTCTTCTGCATGTAGACCCATCACTTTGATGTCTACCATCCAAATCCTTATCAACTGTGCTTTTCTTTGAAAAGCCTTTCACATGAGAGGCATCAGAAGAATTCTCATCTTTGACTAATGTTTCAATCTGTATGTCAACCACAGAAGTTCCTTCTGTTTTTGCATCACTTGCAAGTGAATACTTCCCAGATGTGTAGCAATTATTGTTCAAAACATCTTCCTGGATTCTATTAAGTGTAGTACTGTTATCACCATTACACTCAAGAACTGGTGTCCCTGTCGATGTAGAATCACCATATATCTGCTGACGTGTTGCATTCAATACAGATATACCAGGAGCAGAGAAGGAAAACTTGAAATCTCTATCTCCAATCTGTGGCAAGTCAATGCTATCACGCAGAGGATCATACTGACTTTGGGAAGATGATGTGCTAGGAATAATGAAAAAGGACGGTTGAAAAGGTAAAGATGGTTCCCAATCATCTGAAGAAATAGTTGCTTTATAATCAGCAGAGAGCAATGGACCTGCAGCCAAGTTGGTTAGAGGAAGATTTTCAGGTTTAGAAGTCAAAGAGGAAGAATTAAAAGGTGATGAACCTATCCAAGTTGAGGCATGGCAAGATGGTGAAATGCCACTTGATGGAAAATAATTGCTAAAGCTTGGGGTTAGGAAATGGCCCATACCTAGTGAAGAAGGAGAATTGAACCTATAATAATTCCTGTGAGCCAGTTCATCCAGATTGCTTATATGAGAAGATTGATTACGACTCTGGCAATTGTCTGAAGATATAACTAGAACATTTGATGAAGATCTACATTCAGATAGGAAGCTGCTCCTGAACACCGGGGAACTTCCAATGTTAATAAGCGAAGAAGATTTCATGTAATCATCAGCAGGCAAATTTTGACCTTCACTTTCTCTCCTTATATCCCTAAATGACCTGAGATCATCTATGGATGAAGAATATTGCTTGGAGACAGGGGGAGTGCGCATAGCATTTCTCAAGCCTAATACAGAGAATAGTTCTTATTAGAAATATCATGCAGGAGAGATTCTCAGACATCCACACTACAAGAGTTAATATGTACCTTCATCAAGCTGGAGAACGTGTTGCCTATCTGCAGGGGTGGAACCCCCTTCTTGGCCAGCAACATTTTCATTTTCTCTTTTATGAAGAAAACTACATGAACTTCCCTTGATGCACCACCCTCTAGCAAAGAAGTCACAGATAATTGCTGGGCGTTTGTTGTTATTGTTAAAATCAACAGCTGGGGATAGAATTTCTGTCCTCGTATCAGGGGCAGCAGATCTGAAAAAACCTTTTGGTCAGTCAGAAACTGTTTTAAGTATTATTTTGAGAAAGGGAGATATTTACTTCCAAGGGCACAGAAGTTCATCCTACGATTTATAAATAAATAAATAAAAATGCAAAGTATATAGAAAAACATCATCAGCAGACCTTGATACCATTCTCTTTCTATCATCTGCTGACTGCATGTGCATTCGCCGAATTTCTTCTCCAAAACAAGAAATACCATTAACCACTTCTCCAGAGCCATATCCTATTGGAAGTGAAGGAACCACCTGATTCCCAGTAACACTAGATGAATTGGCAACCCTGTCCATAATCTCACCCACACACAAATGACCCCTGCCACCAGCATCCTTCTCGCTAACTGCAGCTGTTTGATACTTGGAAAGCTTAAAGTTTATGCCTTGATCCTCCATTCCTGTTCTCAAAAATTTAGTTGGAAGGCCAGAAAACTTGGAACTACCACTATTATCTCCCATAGCAAGTTTCCTAGATGGTAGCACAGTTCCACATTTTTCCTGAATGGAAGAAACAGACCCCTGATTTCTGCCTTTCCTGTTGGACTCCATAATGTCACTTACATCTACAAAAGGGAGGAACACAATAAAGAGAGAGTCAAGCAGAAGCTTGAATTAAAATTACACGCATGATCGAATCAAAATTACACTTTCCGACTTCCAATTTCTATACCAAACTTAATACCATATCACCTAGGATCGTCTGCTCCGATCAACGAGAAATTCATATACAATTTACACGCAAGATTGAATCAAAATTAGATTAACTAACCGCTTCCACGTGAAGAACGAGGCGAATCCTCTTCGACATCATCTTCTTCTACCTCTATCTCTTCTTCAACCTCTATTTCCTCTTCATCATCATTGATGTTTCCTGCATCCGAATCGGAGCCTTGCTGCTCTGTTTCTGGGGGAGCCCGGTGGTTGCCATCATTATCAGCGAGCGTAGCAGCGGCAGAGGCCGAGGGAGGCATTGCGGCCGAGCTCGGTTTCACGGTTCGTCCGGCTTATGAAGGAAGGTGGCTATCGGATGCTGAGCTCCAAACTGAAGTTTGTCTTTGCGCCACCGGAGATGTTAGATGACTGGACGTGATGCACATACCCCCAGTCGGTTTCCTCACATTGACCCCATTGACTCACGCTCCTTCCTTGCCGCGTGAGCCATGTGGAGACTCATAACTGGGCTCAGTTTCCTTTCATAGGCCGAACTGGACTGGATTCAGGCCTGGAAAAATCTAAACCCATGCTAAATGGGTCAGTTGTTACAACTTACATGCTAAAAATGTAGTGATTTTGTTCACAAAAGGAAAGAAGTAGGTGATAACTAGAAAAGGTGCGGATCAATATACCTTCTTTTATTTATTATTTAAGAATGTAAATTTTCTTAATTTTTAAATAAAATGGTAAATTTTTAAAACTTTTATTTAAAATATTAATTTTTTATTTTTTATTTAAAGATTAGTTAAATAGTTTTTTTTTAAAAAGTCTTTTTTTACAAAAATATCACTATCTAATTAATTTTTAAATAAAAAACTAAATTTAACATTCTTAATTTATGTATTTTGTAACAATTTTATTTATCCATTTGTAACAAGTTTTTTTATTTAATTATATGATAACCTTAAAAGTTAGATCTACTAATAAATAAGTATCATTTTATAAATCAAGTTTAAGGTTTACATCTTGAAACTAGTACAAAATTATTTTTTTTGAATATACTGGACTAATATAGGAGTGCACACCTAATATTGCTCAAGAGGGATTAATCTCAACCTACATAGAAACTAACCCAAGAATACTCTATAGTAAATATATATATATATATAAAAAATTACTATTATATGTTAATATGATTTAATTTTATGAGTTGGACCAATGAAGATGCTTACATTGTAATCCATT